AATGTTTTTAAAAAGAGGTGGTGATTCCTGGTGATGAAGGTTGCAGAGAAGCCAGAAGGTTCCCCAGGACCAACCACTTTGATAGCAGAGGGATAATTTCAGGAGGACCCTTTTGGAGGAAGGGTTAAAGGGGAAACCAGAATAGAAGTAAGTGGAGAGAGCAACAGTTGGTAGCCTGTCCAGGAAGTTTGACTACGGAGGGGCAAGAGAAAGAGAGCAAGACCTGGAGGGGATGAGGACAAAAGAGAGGAGGGGGGCTTGCGACTGCTTAAAAACTAAAAGAAAAAACCCAAAGAAGAGATTTGATGAGATGACTGTGAATGAGGGGAACCATGGAAAGTGATGACTGTAACTAGAAATGCCTATATGAATCGGCATTTAGTCAACTGGGACCAAAAAAAATGCCATTCATATGAAAATGACTTTGTGAAACTTATGCATGTGCTTTCAGTACAAAAACACTGAAGCAAAGGGAGTATTTGAGATTTGTCTGTTAACAATTATACTTCCAAGGGATACCATCTACTGAGCATCCATCATGTTAGGTACCGAGCCAAGTCCATGGCATTGTTCTCATTTTACACAAAATACTGAACTAAGCCTTCAGCTGAGGTTCAAAGAGGAATATAACTTGCCTAAGGGCATGCAACTGACAACAGAGGAACCAGGACTCAAACTTGGGACTACCTCACTTCAGAGCCCCAGTATTTTCCTCTAAAAGTAAAAATAACTTAAATGAATTTTAACACCCCCTTCTCAGTAGCATCTGTACGTTCTTGGTCTCCAGACAGTGGTAAGGTTGATAAGACAACTTATTGTGGTATTGTTCACTTTATCTACTATCCATTTGAAACAAATTTCAATAAAATAATAGAGTCTAGGATTCTCAAAGTACATCCTGGCTTGTCACGTCAAGATACACATGTCAACATGGTATGTGTATTATGTCTATTTGTGCGGGCACCCACAAGAATATCTATATTTTAGGACCTGAAGCTTATAATTTGGGGGATACAAATACGTCTAGGACCCTTTGCAGAGATTTATGCAAGTGAAGTGCCCCGAAACTTGCTAACTTCATGACAAATCCCCCTCTACATGTCACATGAGTACATGAACTATGTATGTATGCACAAAGATATTTGGAGGGACAAATAAAAAGCTATTGTCCTTTGACCTACAGCCCTGGATTCTATTGCTTAGTGCAATAAAGCATTAGTTAGTATAGTTACATCTTTTCTGGGATGATGGAGAAGATTTTACAAGAACCAAAGGCACAAAGAATTTTTTTAAATGCCACTTGACTTTAAGCCAGTGGTCATTTGCTAAGTTAGATATATAAGACTATGGCTCATGCTCTTTGTTTTCAGTAGGCTAGTGAATATAACTTTTAAAAATTATCTTCTATATACCAGAGAGCCTTTTTGTTCATATACTTCTTAGATGTGACCTCCTGTGTATATGAGGATTTGAAGAGTGTATTGGTAGAACAGGCTGGGTGTTGGAAGAGCTAAGGGGCAGTGGACAGGAGAAAGTTGGAAGGGCATCTTCATTTAGAAACCTGTTATAGATAAAACACATGATTTGTGTTCTCCAGAAGCCAAGACTAAGAACTTAGGTACAGGGATGGCCAGATTCCAACTCAACAGAATTTTCTACCAACTATAGCCATCCAAATATGGTTTGCTTATGCCATGGCCAGCTGCCCATCACAGGACATACTCGTCCAAGGCTACTTCTTGGCAGGGGAAGAGTAACTGGGGACTCATACCAAACAGAAGTTTGAGTCAATGTAAGAAACCACTAAAATCCTCTCTAGGCCTAAGATGCCATGTCATTACAGGTACACACCACCAGTCACACACATGGTTCTTACACAGCTCATCTGCTCCACACCCCCATGGTAGTGATATGTTTATGCTAATCCAGTCACATTCCCTGACCAAGATCCTGATTACTGAGAAAAGGTGTCTTTGAATGGATTGGTCTAGTCATGGTCACACTCTAGAGTCTTAAAATTAAATTTTTTTCTGGCCAACCACCTGGGACTTGGGTCCATGCTCACTTGATAGCCACCCCCAATAGATGGCATTTATGACTGTTATCTTAGCAGTAGTCAAAATAGGCTCACAGTTTAGGTATGAAACTGGCAAGAGTCCTGCTTGGCTCAACCTCCTCCTGCTTTCTCCTACATGTTCAGGGAGAAGCTTCACTGTCTGGCATTCTTGGCCAGCTCCAGGATGAGAGTCCAAAGCCAACCAGCCAGCAGGCCTGGGAGAGTGTGAGGCAGAGCACATGTCAGTGTCACTGTGGGCATGACCCTGCAAAGCAGGCTGCAGGGTCCTGGGAGCCCACAGCCATGACCCAGATCCTCCTCTAATGTTTTCCATGTGAGACATCTTTAGGGGTCTACAAAGCTGATCTAAGCCCCTTGAATACGAATATTAATAACAATAATGTAGAGTGAGTGATGGTGGTGGTGACAGCCATAGCTAGGAGCGCTTACTTTTTGCCTGATGCTGCATTGAGCTTATTGTTATTGACTACGTCACTCCATGGAACCCTGCCAAAAATCCTGCAGAGTGGATGCTGATTACCATTTTCTAGATGAGGAAACTGAGGATTGGAAAGGTTAAGAGACTTGCCTAAAGAAGTATCAGTCAGCTAAGCTTCAGAGCATAGACCAAACCATTCTGTTCTCTTGCCTCACTTCCTTTATGAACAGAGGAGAGTGACTTCCTCCCCTCCAGCCCCTGTTCTGGTCCCCACCAGGGAGCTTCTCCAACCCAGAGCCAGCCTCCAAGGAAGACCTGAGGGTAAATATACATTAACCCTGCTCCAGGTACTTCTAGACATTTCCCTCATGTAACCCTCACAGCCAGCATCTGAGATAGGTGCTACAATTTCATTCTGCAGAGAAGCCCTGGGACTTGCTCAAGGTGACCTGATGCCCAGGCGGCTGCCTCCGCAGTCTGTGCCCCTCACTGCACCTCAGCTGCCTTGCTGCAAGAACAGCCTCCAACACCCTCACAGACACTAAATTTATATTTCCTGGCCTCCCCTTCCAAAATGGATACACTAATTACAGACCATTTTTTTTTAGTAATAGTAATCATCAGGAACACATTTTTTAATGTTTTCATTTTCTGTTTGCAACTACTGAAATAAAACATTGATCAAACCCACAGGATCAAACCCAGCAAGTGTGAGGCCATGTAAATTAGGAAAAGTTCAGGAAGACATTACACTAAACCAAAAAAAAAAAAAAAAAAAAAACCACCCAAGTGTTGATTAGGGACTTATTTTTATATGAGATTAAAATACGAATCATTAAAATAGGACTGTATTTTGGGCTGCGCATCCCCATCTCATCAGAGCCATCACCATGACTACTAGATTTGGAGTCCATGAGTGCCAAAGCCCTTCCCAGCTCTCAAACATGGCCACGTGTGCCAGGTCCTCCCTCATCCATGACATTTCCAAAAGTGTGGTCAGAATACCTTTGCATTTTCCTGCCTGTTTCCTTTTAATGAAACACCCAAGAGACGGGGCATCTTCATCTCTTTGAAGCCTTTTCTTAATCCAAATAGTAAGTAGTGGCAGTAAGTTACACTATTAACAACCAAAATTCAAGGGTGGAGGAAAGAACAAAGTTTTTAAAAACAAGGTCAAAAGGTTCTCCCAGGAATTTCTTGGGATCAGGTAGCCATGGAACTTCATGTGGTACAAACAGTGGAGTGGAGATTTGCAGAAAGAAAGAAATTAATATGGAATTCAGATACATGCTAAATTTGGAGGAAAAAAATAATATAGCAATATCTATAGCCCAGAATATGCAGTTAAAGTTGTTAATTAAAGTATCTGTTAAAAAAATGGCTAAAATTAGAAACAAAGGCCCATTGTTTGGTACAATTGTTGACTGCATATCTCTGTGTAGGGAAGGGCGTAGGGGGGACAGCATTTTAAAGATTAATCACCCATCCTTATAAGGTTTTGAAGCACCCACCTGCATTTTGAACTTGGATTTAAGCCAAAGGGGTAGACCAGACCATGACAGTTACTTTGCTAATTAACTATTCAGTGGACACTTCAAATACCAACTATATCAGAACAGAGGGGCCTCCGCTCAAACCAGCCCCCACCATCTTCTGCCAGCGGCTGACATCTTAAGATAATTCTCTAGAGCTTGTAGAACCTTGGCATAATGCCTATATGTATTTTTAAAGGAGGGAAGCATCCCAGACTGTGCCAGTTCCTTATAGAGCATTGTCAATAGTTAGCACCTCTGACCGGACTTGTGAATTTTGTTCATTTTTATTCTCTTCCTGCCCAGGGTTGGAGTCAGTTAGAAAGGCATATTTGTCTCTGTTGGGAAGGTTTCTGTAAAGAATCTGAGTTGTCATTGGAACATAAAATATGTTCATACATAATGACTTTGTAATTCTTTGAATAATCTGAAGTACAAACAAAGAGATATGTAAAAGAGGATATTTTCACAAAAATAATAGGAATTAAGTTGGGAAAATTTAAATTCCCCCTAATGTCTGGGATGTTACTCCAATAGGCTATCATTAGCCAGCTCCTAAAGCAATTCAGTAATGTGGGAACATCCTCAAAACCTAAGGTAGAGGGGAAAAAGTGGTTTCTAACTACTAAAACCAGATCCTCACTACATAACGGTAGACATCATTACCAGGGCTTCTCTGACTTCGTAATGGAAATCTAGGTGGTTTTGTTTCCTTTCTGGTTTTGCACATTTTTAAAAACTATTCTTATATATTGCTTTCATAATCAAAAATGTTTAATTTTTAAAAAATCACATGGTTCTGACGTCTTGAGTTTCAAGGGCTGTGTCCTGTCCCTGTGAGCTCCACGAGGACACTTGGCATGCCCATTATTTTTACCGCATGTCCGTACCGAAGTGCCAGGCACGTAGCTTCAGCCCAGTCAGCAGCAGTGGAATAAGTATGCCGTCTCTCTCCCATTTCTTTTCTTCCCAGGTGATGTGCTCTATGAACTCCTTCAGCATATCCTGAAGCAGAGGAAACCTCGGATTCTTTTCTCACCATTCTTCCACCCTGGAAACTCTATCCACACTCAGCCAGAGGTCCTACTGCATCAGAACCACGAAGAAGGTACTGGACAAGGCTGCTCTTTCCTTACCTGAGGTTTAGACAAACCCCTGGGGTTTAATTGTTAACTTTATTAGCTGTTCTTATTCATGCAAAGTCATTTTTCAGTCAACAAATATTTATTGAGTGCCTACAATGTGGAAGGCACTGGGGGAAATGCCTAGATAAATAAGATGTGATGGAGTTGACTCTCTGAGGCTCACAATCTAATTGAAGCCATGAGACAAATGTACACATGAGAATAAAAGTCCAATTATAACAGTAGACACCATAGAGACATAGAATAGAAGGGGAGGTTATGTCCAAGTACAGGAAGCAAAGTCAGCTTCATAAAGAAGGACTCTCTGGAGGATTCCTTGAAGGTCCAACAGGGTTCTAAATAAGCAATGATGAAGTGGAGAACATTCCAGGCAGAGTAAATGACTAAGAGTGGGGCTAGACCTTGAAATGCAGCAGTTAGATAATTCGGGTGCTGTGCCCACCCCACCTTTTTATTATGAAAATTTTCAAATATATATACATATATATGTGTGTATATAAACGTGAAATGGTGAGGGATGGCCTCTTCACATCACCTCTGTGCCTTGGACAACTCATTTGATACTACCTCACAGAGACCTATGCTCCTACCTTGTTGTGTCCACCTGTTAACCACATTTAAATAGTATACACGCAGATACACACAGACACACACACACACAAAAATACATGTACACCTACCTACATATGTATTCCAAATAGACCAAATTAAATACATAGACCCCTGCAAGCCACCACCCTCTACAATAGTGATCAACATCTTGCCTTTGCAAAGCTTATCCAAGGAGGTGAAACTGGAACCAGAGAGTGGAGCACTGGGATTTCCAGGCTAGTAAGGAAAGTCTTGGGGAAAATGATCAAGATTTTTGAACAATAGGTAATGAAACAGGAAAGAAAAAACCCAGACCATGTGGACTCAGTGTTGGGTTGGGGCTTCTTCATCAAGCTTAGGGGGGTTTATTGGCCTGTGCTCAGTGCCAGGGCTTCTTGCTGATGTCCCAGCTGCTGCTCCTGTTGTGATTCACAGGAATCATAAAAGCACTGATGGACAATGGGAAGGCACTGGGGGAACTGTGGTCCTGGACGTAGTTCGATAGCAGGTGTTCAGGTACAGGAATTTGGTATAAAAGCGCTGCTTTCAGCCTGATTCCACAGAAGAGCTGAGTTTCACCTCTGAGGACCACTGTGTCTATATTCTCCTGCCAGGTAGACCATGCAACACTCCTAAATGTACAGTGGTGCTTTTTCACTGTGCTTTCCTTAGGACCAGATTTCCAGGGCCTTAACTCCCCTTGGGGAATTTTCTTAAATTGATTGATCATCTCCAAGGGCAGGGCTAATATTTTTGTAAGTTTTGTGTTTTCTTAACACTTCACCAAAGAGAGCCTGAGTCCAGGTGGCTCACGTGGCCTCCTTGTGCCAGCATCTCACAGCAAGTCCCCTCACTTCCATGATGGAGAATAATAAACGAGCATTTCTGGCACAGTCCCTGCATCTTTCTCTCATTGTTTCTTCCCCGGGCCTTACCTCTGCTAAATTTAGCAGCTTCTCCCTCCCCCAATTCAGTTTTTAATGTTCTTTTTGCTCTTCTTGCTGTGTTCATTTCCGGACTGCATAATAGCCAACAGTCACTCTAGAAAAGAGGAGGTGGGTTTACTGAAGCTTGACACTGTCAAGAATTACATTACCTAGTCTGCCCCTTCAGATACAGAGTGTGATGGGCGTCCCTCGCTTTTCTTATTATTTAAAAAAAAAAAAAATCCCATTTGGAATTTCTGTCCCCATTTTATTCCCAAATATGATTGGAGGCATGTGGATGCACCTTATCATAAATTTTCCTCCTTTCTCCTTGGCCTGATTTGACTGATAAGTAGGTATGTTTGTAGTTCTCATTTGCCAGAGCTCATCAATAGAGAAAGCTGTCTTACTCCGAGAACTACTCTCAAACCAAGTAAATACAGATATGTCAGTGCATAGGTAGTAATGAGCTGTGCTCTCAAGTGTTATTTCAGTGGTGAGCTCAGTAGGTAAGAGAATGGAGCTAATGAGGCCAAGGTCAAAGGTTTCATTACCCTGCAGACCAGTTGGCTCGGCTTCAGAACCAACCTTAAAATACCTAATGCATTCTCAGAGACCTGTCCTTAAGGCTGACAGACAGGAAGCAGGATCTGAGAGCATATACCCTGCCCCTTTGTCTATTTAGATGTGGTGTACAGATGGACACAGCAAGGTAGAAGCTTAGGTCTCTGTGAGGTGGTATCAAATGAGAAGAGCTGTCCAAGGCACAGAGGTGATGTGAAGAGGCCATCCCCCACCACCACTTAATGTCAGACAGACCAAGTACAGTGGTGAAAGAGTCAGTACATGTGCCCCACCTCCAACCACCGCCAGCCTCTTTCCCTTCTTCTCCGAAAAGAAAAACATCCAGCTCAGTGTGAATTGTCTTGAGAATCTATAGTGTTGTATTTAATTGTGAAGGGTAATAAATGATTGATGTGAGCATATGTTAGCATATAGAAAGACCTGGTCCTGAAAAAGAGTCTGCAATGGGAAATTAGACACATCCAATATTACTTCCTCAATGATTTATTTTACATAATTAGGGATACATGCAAAAGCATATTAACCCAAGACTCTTTATGTTACTATTGACTTGGCTCTGAAAACACACACACACACACACACACACACAAAGTTGAATATGCCTTATCCAAAATGCTTAGGACCACAAGTATTTCGAATTTCCGATTTTGTAATATACATAGTGAGTATCTTGGGATGGGACACAAGTCTAAACAGAAAATTCATCTGTGTTTCATATATACCTAATACACATAGCCTGAAGGTAGTTTTATACAATCTTTTAAATATTTTTAAAGTTTTGATTTTACACAATTTACCAGTGTCCTACATTTTGGCTGCAACCTGTCACGTGAGGTCAGGTGTGGAATTTTCTACTCATGGCATCAGGTCAGCATTAAAAAGTTTTCAGACCCTGGAGCACTTTGGATTTCCGATTTTGGATTAGGGATGCTCAGCCTGAATATGAAAGAGAGGATAGGAAGAGAATGGGGCCAGCAGAGAGGGCCCAAGTCAGCTGCTGAGCAGCCTGGCGCAGTGAGGCCTGGAGATTGAAATGCAAAAAGGGGGCTTCACTCAATCCCCAGCCCACCATTTACCTGATCCCAGCCACCAACTTAACCAGTTCACACAGTGATCATTTCACAGTGGAATTTACATCACAAAACACATGTGTCTTATTTAATCTAGCAGAGCTCCCCCACAGATACCCTCTGTGAGGCATTACTTGAGATCTCACCTTCCTTGCTAGCAGTCACATGGCAGTGCCAGAAGCTAGGAAGCCTGTGTCAGCTTCCCCTTCCAGTCCTGGAAAGGTTGATCACACTGATTCAAACCCTTTACTTTGTAAGTACTTGTTATTTCTATAATGTACTCTGTTCTGAAATTCTGTCAGGCCTTGAGCAGAGCAGTCATCATATTACTACATACATCCAGGAAAACCTCTATTTCTACTCTTTTCCCTTATTAGTTATGGGAAGGGAGGGGATGTTATATAATTAGGTCAACAGTATTTCTTCTGTTCTGAGACACAAGGACAAAGACCTAGAGCATTATTATGAAGCCCATAAATCAGAAGCATCCCAGACAAATGGAATGAGAGAGAGAGAGAGAGAGAGAGAGAGAGAGAGAGAGAGAGAGAGAGAGAAATTGTTAAATGGTGGGATCTAGAAGTCAGGAAGTCAGATTCAAATCCTCCTTTCTGCCAGAACAAATCATGACGCCAACATTTCTCATTTCCCTGGCTTTCAGTTTCCCCAGGTGTAGGATGGGGTTAGACTAAACAGTTTCTAATTCTGTGATGGCTCCAAAATCCTTACATTATGTCCAAGCGGTGTGAAGGTCAATAACACAGATTCTTCACCCTCAGGGTCTTGGGCAACAGAAATTCAGAAAACCATGACAGTCCTGCCTGACACTACTCAGAAACAGTAGAAAACCTCTTCTGTTCTCATTTGTCACACCTTATCAAGAGCTTCTAATAATATTGCCCCTCCCAGCAGCCAAACCAAGATTGGCACCATTCATTTCATAATGAAAAGCTCAGTTTAAGCAGGTTTCTCTTATTTTACTATTATGACTCATTTTACCTACAGAATGCGTTAGATGGGGGCTGAGTGCTTATGTAGAAAGGAGACAAAATAAACAATGCTGCTGCTTCTCACACAACAACCAGAAGGCACAACATCTTTAGAAATCTTGGAGCCACAAATGATTATAAAATATATTTATTTTACATATATTTGTTACGACAACTTCTTTTGATAGCTTAGTCCAAATTCGGTTGTTTTCAGGTCCCCTAGAGCTAAAAGTAACTTTCAAAGATAGACTTTATTACCAGTTGCCACTGGTTATTTGGTATTGGGACTACTTGAATAGCAATTCCCTAAAAGCTCATTGGGCCATGCTTCCCATCAGTCTGAAATCACTAGATGAGCCAACTCCACCTGTAAGAGTGAGCCCTGTAAGACAGGACAGACACACAGTCTGTAAGGAGAAGACTTACATAAAAGGTCTGTTTGTCTAACATTCTCTTCCCGTCACCTCCTCTGGGGCCCCTCCTATCATTTAGACTCTCAGTCTCACCCTTTCCTTTGCTCAATCTAAGAGACTATTATGAGGGGTAGTTTTAATCACTTTAACATGAGAATATTCACACGTGAGGTGCTGTGATTGTCTCTGCAACAGCGGATGCAGATTTAAGGGGGCAGTTCTGCTCTGGTAGCAGCTTTTTTCACCAGGTAGACGTGGAAATCTGAAGCATGTTAAGAAATTTCAAACATTGAAATACTATGGGTCTCAATTTTCCTTATCTCTAGCACACGGGAATGGCCCAGATGGTAGAAAGCAGTCATTTCGAGGGCGGAGGTGGGGAGGCAGGAGGG